CGACGAAGGGACCCGAGAGAGAGAGAGAGAGAGAGAGAGAGAGCGAGGGAGAGGGGGGGGGGGGAGGAGCAGGAGGAAAACGTTTCTTACTCAGTTTGTGGTCGCTGGGGATTTCAGTCACATGGGGAGGGAAGCGCTTGCTGCTCTGCTGCAGCACTGAGGTCTCTCCGTTGGGACGTTGGAAAGGTTGCAGGTACACGGCAGTGAAGAGCACAGCGACCAGAGCGATGGAGGATGCGTGAAGGAGGTCACGGAGGTTCCAACGTGTGAGGAGGAGCAGGGGAGCTGCTGCACATGTCCTGGAGGATGACGACCGACGATCATCGGACAGTGACGAGCGCAGCATTGTCGTTGGAACGACGAGGATTCCGACAACTCACTCACTCCTCCTGCTTCCCCAACTCCTCGCCATCAGCGTCTTGTAGCCATGCTCTCTCTCCTCCTCCTCCTCTCCCTGTCTCTCCTCCCCTCTCCACTCCCCTGCCTAGTCCTTCCATCCCGAAATTCGCCATGTCACAAGGGTCACTGCGAGTGTCGGGCCATCCCTCAAACGGGCCTGCCGGACTCACTGCCGGACTCACTGCCGGACTCACTGCCGGGCCCCGGGTCCGGTTACATCGCCAGTGGATGCAACAACCGTTGCATCGCGCATGGCACCGCCTCTCGCATTGACCCTCGCGGTCGCCATGGGCGTGATGGGAGGAGGAGGAGCCTCGGCCTCGCCAGCTGCAGCTGCAGAGCAGAAGCTCTGCTTCGCTGCTCCCGTGCCTGACAACCTACAGCTCGGCTCCAGACGCGCAGCAGCGGGTCAGGAGCGGATCAGGGTGGAAGCGGACTACGTCACTTGCACGCAGTGACCGCACGGATACATCGGGAAGAAGCACATCCAGAAGGCTCTGCTGCTCTTCCACGAGAGGCACCCGACCGCGGCCATTGAGATCAACGTCACCCGACATCCTTACTCTTTCCTGGGCGATGCTAAGGACGGCAGTGGATTCCTCCGATCCGGAGGGCAGTGGACCTGGCATGATGGCCTCGTCGACTACACTGGAGGGTCAGAAGCACAAGCTCGAGCATACGAGGCATCTCTGAGTGGTCTGATCTAGTCTCTGTGCTTGTCTGCCACCTGACGTTTGGATGGACAGAGCTCGGGCAACGGGCAGGCATCAGGTTCCGTTATGATCAGAAGACGAACTGGCAGCCTGTAGACAGTCAGAGGATTTGGTTGTGGTCGGCAAAGCAGGGAAAGGCTGAGGAATACATCGATCGCCTCAACCACCGACACTTCGAGCTCGGAGAATCTGCGTCGGACAGGAAAACAGTGTTGGCCGCCTGTGCCGACGTCGGAATCGACAAGGAGGAAGCAAAGGCGTTCTTGGAGACAGATGAGCTGGTAGAGACCGTGTGGAAGTCATACGGAGACACCATCCACAAGTATGGAATCCACTCCATCCCCCTCTTCGTCTTCAACGTCCCTGCCATCGGTGCCGTGGGCGGTCCATTCAGAAAGGATAGCTGCTCCAGGTACTCGGGATGCGGGCAACGGGAGGAGGAGAGGGGGGAGGAAGGAAGGACAGATGGGAAAGGGAGGGAGGAATGCGCGTGACTTTGAGACAGGGAAGATGAAAGGACGAGGTGTCAGAGGGAACCGTGGGTTGTCAACGGTGAGCAGATCCGATCAATGAAAAGAAGCTTGTGTAGTGAAGGCGAATCGACCAGGTTCGATGGATGCCAACAGGTTCCTCCAGATCTTCGAAGAGATCCTCCGTCTGCAGATGAAGTCCAGGGAGTAACTGTGCTGTCAAGTTGTGATATCCTCTGAATGACAGGAAACGTGTAAAGGCCTGGCACCTCGCTTGGTCCATGTTTCCTTGACAAGCTGGAGAACTTGGCACGGTAGTTGATCGACCTGGATGATAAGAGGCACACGTGAGTAATATACTCAAAAGGATGTAGGCGTGCTCAGCCTTGTTCTGTGCTGTAGTGGCCGCTCAGAGTGTCAGTCGCTGAGCCTGATGCCGGGCCCGGACGCGTAGGTCCAGGCTTCTCGGATCGTCACGGGTCAACTGAGTCAGTGACTTGCAGCGACTTGTCAGTGACCCGCCAGGCTGGACTTCAATACGGTCCGCTCAGGCGGCCGGGCCCCGGCACGGTCGGAGCCCGGCCCCTGCCACGGTCCGAGTCAGGATCAGTGAGCCGCCGCCGTCGCGGCCTCTCGGATGGAGTCACAGTCTCGGACTCGGTCCGACGGTCACTGAGCGGTCGCGGCGAGCCGCCTCAACAGCGACTCCGGCGAGGAATGTGTTGTGCCGCCGCAACCCCGCGGGCCGCGCAGCTACTGTCAGGTGCCGTACCCCCGTCCCGGCGCACGCCGGGGACGGTCGGACCCCAGGCTCGCCACCGTGGCGTACCGTACGATACGGCCCCGCCGGTGACCGTGCCGGCGAGTCAGACGCCGTGCCGCTAGTGGCCGGGCACCGTCCGCGGTGATGATCCGACCCGAGTCCAGTGCGGCACTGCCATTCAGGCTGTACATCCGCCGGATACCGTACGCCCGGCGTAACCCGGTCACCGGGTAGTTGGACGGTCCGAACTCGGAAACAGGCTGCCACTAGTAAGGCCCGGCCTGGGCCCGCCTGGCTTCCGAGGAGGCTCGGAACTTCCGGAAGTTCGGCACGCGGCTCCGACGGCACCGGCCCGGCCACCCGGCGATGACCGGTAGTGTCGCTGTACCGGTACCCCGTGCCACGGTGGGAGCGGCTCAATCTGTTAAGTCACTCAGCCTCCACGACCCCACCCCAGCCTGTGACTTATTATTGAAAAATCATGGTGGGTAGTCACTGCCACCTGTTTTGCCCCCTACACCACCATCCCCAGGGTCTCAGGATCAGCCCAGCATCAAACGGCATACCCAGTACCCTCGCCCTCAGGAACGCGACCACCACCCTTGCTTCCTCGAGGACCCCTTCTTTGGCCGAGTATCGTTATGCCTTCCACCCCCCATCACATTTGCTCCCTACCTTGTATTGCACTGTCCTTGCCACCCCCTCCCCCCACCCCCCCTTACTACTTACGGACCGTGCCCTACCCCTGGTTTAATGCCACCGGGCCGTACCCCACTCACAGAACAATGGTTCATGCAGATTTTAAAAGGGATGGGAGTGGTAGCGCAAAAATGCTCGATGGGCGCTACAGCAAACATGGTTGAGAGATCGTCAAGATTTGATCTTTGCTCATGAAGGATATGCTGCAGCAACAGACGCGAACGTCGTTGTGATGGTGTCGAGCTAGTCATAGCCTTTTCAGAAAGTGGACCGAAGAAAAGATTGGGAATGAGTGGTCAATCTTGTGGATGAAGATGAAGACGATGTTCATGTGCAGCCGAGCTAGACTGATTCTCACATAAGCTATTTTGAAACTTCGATTGCTACCTGCACTAGAGAAATTCATTCCCTACAGTGGAAAAGAACCTAGATTTTGGACCGTGTCTGAGGGCCACTTGACTGATATCAATACGCAGGCAGTTGGCGATGCAGGCTGTTGTACAGATCCGAGCTCAAGAAAGATTCAACGCCTCTACGGTAAACTTAAGCTTGCAAGGTTAGCCATGCTGAGCTGTGGATCACCCAGTTGTATCACATGGAGACGCGAAGCCAGTTAGGGCTGCGAGAGGTCAAGAACAAGACCTACTCGGATTTTGAACGACTGCATCAAGATCTTGCCAAACGAGTAGCATGCGATTCCTTCTTCACTATCTCGACTCACTATGATCCTAGCACCCTGTCCCATCCTTCCCCCCCAAGTATCCGCAGGGAAGCAAGAAACAGAGGATAGATATCATTCGCGCGTAAGATACTGTCCTAAAATTCATCTGAAGGAGTTGATGGATGATTTTGCAGAGAATTAGAAAAATATCTGAATGCTCTACTCGGCAGGATGGAGACTGCGGGGGATGCGGCATTGTATCGCGGGGAGGCTGGTTGTTGAAGATGCTGATGGAGTGACACAGGTGTAAATTCATATGCCTAGAACCCAACATAACGTTGCATGGGCTGGTAACTTGTATCCTCAAGTTGTTGGGAGTGTTCACCATGCTCTTCAGCGTCAGTCGATGACGAGAGAAGCCGTGCCGCCGCAGACCAACTCTTCTCCCATCAACAACAATGTACAAAGTCAGTCACCGCAGAAACCCTCGCAACAGAGTCCGCAGGCAGTTCATCAGATTGCTCTTCCTGTTGATCCATATTCTTACCCCGTCGGTATAGCCTGATCGCTGTTGTTGTTGTCGGAATGTAACACTTTCCTCTTGTCAGCCCCAGTACCAGCCCCCCTAGCCCAGCCGCATCCAGAGCCAACTCTACCTGGCCCTGCCGATGCCTTTCCACAAGTCCAACAAGTTCAACCAGAAATTAGCAGGCAAGATTTCAAGGAGCTGTTCGGACTTTCTCCTCCGCCCTCAAGGTCACACTTGTTGATTGGTTCCTGCTCTTGACTTGCAAGCAGCTTCCTGGGACCTGAGAACGTCTCGAGCAACCTACAAGTCCCCCCCATGGAGCCGGTGCCCAGTAAGAGACCTCCCTTAGCCTGTGCTTCCCTTGACACGTGGGTCGCTCCCTTGAAAGTGGCGGAGAGGAAGGAAGATGCTGCTCACAGGCTCTCGAACGAGGTGAGAGCTCCCTCCCGACGCTTGCTCCGACGTCTGACTGGTGTGTGTGGGAAGGGTCAACCGCTAGGGATGCCTCTCTCCGAATCCCTCAAAGAGCCCCCAGCAGTCCCCAAGGGCTTCGAGGAATACTCAGAGGTTCCTGCTCTCGCTCCATCCGTTGCGTCCTCTGACTCGTCCTTAGATTACCGACCACATCCCCGACGAGCTCGACCTCGACAACCTCATCCAGTCGTTCCCTCCTACCACCGACTTCTCCGTCCCTCTCATCTCCCAGTTCGCCCCTGGCCCCGAGGACCAGCTGGACTTCAGCCACATGTCGATGCGAGCCAGCGAACAGGCGTCGGCAAGCAAGCAAGCACGTAGATTGCCGCTCTTGGAGTCTTGTTGTGTTGCGACTTGACTCGAGAATTTACAGCTGCAGGGATGAAGAGCGGAGAGAGCGCGGAGGCAGCAGCGGGCAGGACCATCTCTCCAGGAGCATACGAGGGGCAGTACACAGGAAGCGACGAGGAGGTGGCCCGAGCGTGGATCAGCGAGGTGACGGGGGAGAAGCTGGAAGGGCCCCTACAAGAATGTCTCAAGTCAGGAGTCGTCCTGTGCAAACTTGTAAATAGGATCAAGAGCAACTCAATCCTCCGCATCAACACAGGCCCGATGCCCTTCCCGCAGCGAGAGAACGTCAACGCCTTCTGCGAGGCAGCGAGATCGATGGGGTGAGGAGAGGAAGGAGGAGAGGAAGGAGGAGAGGAAGGAGGAGAGGAAGGAGGAGAGGAAGGAGGAGAGGAAGGAGGAGAGGAAGGAGGAGAGGAAGGAGGAGTGGGGAGGGGAGGAGCGGACTGGACCTTACGTCAAGCTTGCTCGCAGAGTTCCCGATAAGGACAATTTCACTACTGCTGATCTCTTCGACAACCGAAACTTCAAACAGGTTCTCGTCTGCATCTTCAGCTTCGGTCGGCAGTGCTACTTCGCCCCAGGATGGAACGGACCTTGTCTCGGCCGGTGAGAGTGGCCGGGGGGTCCAGCTCTGATGTCTTGCTGATGTCTTGCTGCAGGCCGGAGATGGCGAAGCTGGGACCGTCGAGGTCGTTTGGGAGGAATGACAGCAAGTAACAAAGTAGGAAGAGACTAGCTGGAAGGGAAGGACATGCAGTTTGAACTCAATTAAAACAACCTTGAGAGGGGGAAAAGAGAAAGTGACAGGATGAAACGAGAGCTATCCCTCTATCCAATGTATCTGCTCCAGCCAGTCGTCGCCCCCCCCGTCTCCAGGAAGCCATGCCGCTGTTAAGGGCTGACCCAACTTGGCGAGCAGGAAGAGGAGGAGAACTCCTCCTACGCTGACCTGACGTCTCGTGACCTTCACCTCTGACAGTCGAGGTAGCGCGAGCCGAACAGAACGCATGCTGCGTGCAGGAAGTGAAAGTCTTGGGAGGCGGAGGCTGCTGAGCACATGAAGGAGCCGGGTACGACTTGCCGCTTGCACAGGCACAAGCTCTCGCAGCAGATCTAGAGCAAGAGAAGGCTCCTGGGAGGAGAGGAGGAGGGAACGGAGACGAGCAGGCCTGATCGAGCTGGAGAGAGAGAGGAGGACGGAGTCGTGCGGCCTCCTCTGCTGCCAGACAAGGTCGAGGCATCCAACTATTTGTGCTGTCCTCTCCTTGCGGAGTTTGTGGTTGCAGGCGACGATGAGGAAGGGGATGAGAACCTGAAGCAAACGAGATGAGCACATGCGGAGCTCGAGGCGTGAATGAGGAGGGAGGAAGAGGAGAGCAGCACAAGAGGGGAGGGAGGAGGAGAGAGGAGGATGAAAGAGGAGGTGGGAAAAGGGACAAGAGTGAGGGAAAGGTCAGAATTCCAAGTTCTCGTGACCTCCTCATTCTCCTGGAAGTTTGTATTGGTAGTGAAGATATCCCATATCATGGCATGAACCTGATATAAGTTACCACCTGTCCCCTCCCTCCTCCTCCCCCTCCTACCTCAGCGTCTGAAACACGATTGGCGACCAGGCAGATTTTGACGAACAAGCGATCGTCGATGAGGTGAGGGTGCCTGAGGGGGGCAGATGAGGTCAAGTGGAGGAGAGGAGTTGAGTTGAGTTGAGAGGAGAGGAGAGGAGGGAATGGGAGGGGAGAAGGGAGGGGAGGGGAGGGGAGAAGGGAGGGGAGGGGAGGGGAGGGGAGAAGAATGGCTGACATCCTTCACCTTATCATCTCCTCCAGCCATGACTTGAAAATCCTTTTCTTCACGCCCTCCCGCCCGGAGCTTTTGAACCAGTCAAAGTCAATCATCGAAATATTCCCCTCCACCCGCTCCACCTCCTCCTCCACCACCTCCTCCTCTTCTCTCCATGCCCTCTCCATATTCCAGCACTGCAACTTCTTTGACGACACTGCTCCAGTCCTTTCTCATCTCTTCTCCTTTCGTTTCTGCTCCTCTCCCCCACCTCGAGTCGACGACGTCCATGAGCAGAGTGAACAGCTCAGTCGACCAGCTCACTCCGTCTCTCAGCATCCACAAAAACGCCTGATGAGCCTCCTTCTGCCCAGCCCCCTTGTGCCTCGAGAGAACCTGACAGGCATCGTCATCCTCTTCTCCTTCCTCCTCCTGCTCCTCCACACCAGTATCACCACCGCTCGCTATCTACTCCTGCTCCTGCTCCTGCTCCTGCTCCTGCTCCTGCTCCTGCTCCTGCTGTTCCTCCCTCGTCCTCGTCCTCGTCCTTGTCCTCGTCCTCTCATATCAGTCTCTTCAACTATTCTCTACATGCAAAACTGCTCTTCCTCGCCATTTTCGCTGTGTGGCAAATTGAGTTGCTGCTCACCTTGATCAGGTTGAGGTATAACATGTAGATGTGAGCATCTGGCTCCACTCCCTGTAAAGAACGCTGAGTCAAGGAGGAGGAGGAGGAGGAGGAGGAGGAGGAGGAGGAGGAGGAGGAGGAGGAGGAGGAGGTGGTGGTGGTGGTGGTGGTGGTGGTGGAGGAGGAGGAGGAGAAAAGGAGGAGGGTTTCACCTTCTTCTTCATGTCCTTGAGCAGCATGACTCCGTTCTCCATCCTCCCGTGGCGCCTGCTTGCCAGCCCGATCGCCACCTCGAAGCAGAGGAGGTAAACGGCTCTCGTCGCCCCCACCTCCTCCGCGCCCATCTCGGCCAGCGTCTCCTCAACGTCCTCAAACTTCACCCTCCCCTCCCACGAGGCCTTGGCAAGGAGAGAGAAGATGGAGCCGAAGTTGAAAATAGCCTTCCTCTCCCTCTCCACCCTCGCCTCCTCCTCCTCCTCGCCCTCCCCCTTCCTTGCCGTTCGGTTGCCGTGCTGCCACCAGCTCATCTGCCGAGCTCGCTGCAGTCGGCTCCAGATCCTGCGCAGGATGACGAAGGAGGACATATCGGGCGCGCAGCCGTCCTCCGCCATCAGCTCGATGACCTCCTGCACGTCCCTCTCCGTCGCCTCCCTCCTATCAGCCGCTGATGCCACCAGCTCCAGCAGCGAGTTCAGCGTCACCTGGTCCCCCTTGATCCCCCTCCTCCTCATCATCCTCACCACCCGCACTCCGTCCTCCATCCTCGTCCTCCCAAAGTTGCTCATCCCCACCACACCAGCGAGAAGAGCGTTGAAAGTTATCGCATCGCCCTCCACCCCATCCTCCTGCATGCTCAGTAGAATTGCTTCTCCATCCTGCATGCTCGCCTTGTTGTGCTTCGCTGCTCCTGCCAGCGCCGCCATCATGGCCGAGTATGTCACAACACTCGGCTGCATCCCCTGCTGCCTCATCCTCTCCAGCACAGCCCGCGCGTCCTCCACCGTCGCCGCATTCTGCGACGCCATGCCGGCAACGATCGCCATCATACCGTTGAAGAAGCTGGGGGAAGGCTCCTGCATGCTGCCCTCCATCTCCTTCAGCACCCTCTCAGCGTCCTGCAGCGTTGCCTTGCCATGCCTCGAGCTCCATGCCAGGATGTCCATCAGGAACCGGAAGGTGCTCGCGTCTGCTCGCACGTCCTCCTCCTTCATCTTTGCCAGCAGCTCAAATGCTTCTTCCTTGCACGACCTCCCGCTCCTCGCGCTCTTTGACACGATGTCGAGCTGGCAGTCGTAAATTTCCTTGTCAGGGCGGAGGCCCGTGCTAGTGAACGCCTCCAGCACCCGCTTCCCCTGTCGCATGCTCCCCCTCCCCTCCCCTGCCGCTGCCGCCACCACCCTGAGCATCGCCTTGCAGATCTCGGAGGAGAACTCCAGCTGCATGGCCCGCATCTGCTTCATCAGCTCGAACACCTCCTCCATCTCCGCTCTTCCCCTCCCCACGTCCAGCTGAAGAACCTCCAGGCACCGCAGCACGGACGTCTCGTCCATCTTGACCCCGAGCGATCGCGTCCTGTCTAGCATGATTTTCACTTCCTGCATGTTCGACTTGTCGCACAGCGCTGCCCGCGCTGCTGCCTTCAGCCACGAGTTGAGGTGCGAGGTTTGCGGGGGAGAGCCGCTGGCGATCACAGCATCGATCTCTCCCTCGGCTGCTTCCACAGCCAGCCGGATCTCCTCTCCTTCCTTCTCCATCATGGTGATGGATGGAAACCTCATCGTCCTGTCCAACATTCCCCTCTCCCCTCCCCCGCCTCGTTCCGAGCTCTCTCGCGGATCTGCCTCAGGCTCCTCTGTGGCGTCGAAACTCCTTACGGACCCTCCTTTGCTTGCAGCCAAGCTCTCTCCTGCCTCCTCCTCCCCTCCTCCTCTGAGCCCCCGATGGAAGGACAGCTGTCTCTCCAGATCCCTTTGGGCCATGCAAAACATCCCAATACCACCACCCCAGGCACGCCGACGTGGGTAGCGACCGCGTTGAGAAAGCTCGTTCATGGGGGATGGAGCCAGCCGGCAGCTTTGAGGTGAGCACGCCAGGCCCTTCATGACTGGCAGAGTTGTAAGGATCACAACGACGAGGAGGCACCCGGTCGACATGGCCTGTTAGCCCCTGCTGCAGGATCCCACGTTGAGCAGTGGGTCACGGTTCACAGAAGCCTTGATAGTCTTGACTTCAGCAGGAGGCAGGATCGATACTCAGACGTCTTGCCTACTCCCTCTGAACCTCCTCTCCCTCTATGCCTCTCTTCCTCTGCCGCTCTCCCTCTGTCTCGCTCCCTCCCTCCTCTCCTCTACCGCGGCTGCACCATATAAAGAGAAACGGTCATTTTCCTGCCGAACGTGCGGCAGGGCAACTCATCAACTACCAGCTAGACTCCGAGAGCTCGCCGCCGGGCCGGGCCGCCGGCCGGGTCTCCGAGGAGTCGAACTGACTGAACTATTTTATACACTTTAGAATCTTTTACTCAAAGTTAAGTTAAAGATCAGTACGGTAGGACTGAGCTCTGATGGCAAGAGGCTGGAGCTTGTCTCCTCCAAAGATTTCAAGGACGTCTGGCATGAGATGATCCTGGTACCCCTCCTCTTCCCCTTCACCTCCTCATTCTCCTTCCCCCTCCCCTCCTCCCTCCCCTCCCCTCCCCTCCCCTCCCCCCTATTCATTTCCCTCCCCATTCTCCTTTCCTCCACCCTTGCCATCCTTTCCTTCGAGGAGTTCCCAGCTGGGATTTTGCCAGCCATGTTCTGACAAGTTCATTGCTCGTACCAGTCGATCCCCAAGGACAACTCGTCAGAAAAGATGTCTCTCCTGCTGAACAACATTCACTCCACCCTTGCCATGGCAACGTGAGAGTGAAACCTTACCTCCTCACTCCCCTCATACCTCCTCTGCCTTGCTCCTGCCTCCCTCGCTCTCTCCTCGTTCTCTACATCACCTGCTACCCTGTGTAGATGTTTCCTTGCGCTTTTCTCCTCTACATCTGCTCTGCTCTGCTCCTCCTCTCTCCTCTTCATCCTCTGACTGCTCTCCTTCAGCTGGGTGCAACACGTCGGCAAGAGCTCTTGGGGCCACATCCTGCTCAAGTACCGCGAGTCCTTCCGAGCCGCCTGCCTTCGTCTCTCCGTCCTCATCACCGCGCTGCTCATTTTCTTCTACGGCGTTCCGATGGACCCAAACTCGTCAGTCCTTGCACTGCTTTCCCCCTCCTCCTGTGCAAGACTAGTCGCTCTC